CCTCTTATTTCATTTCATTCATCTAGTCCCGTTAGGATTCTAACTCAGGGTTTCCTTTCAACAGGTCATGGGTGTACCATCACCTATTCCTCCTATTGGACAGACCAGATCCTTGGGGGCCTCCACATGAAACCGACTGCAGACCCCTGATGATCCTGGTAGGCGGCCAGGTGAAACCGGTAGGGTCCTTCCATGCGGTGTACCGACTGCAGACCCCTGATGATCCTGGTAGGCGGCCAGGTGAAACGGGTAGGGTCCTTCCATGCGGAAGTTTGACTTCTGCCTTTGTGCTCATTGACTATTTTTCGTAATGCAAGTCGCGTTCGGGGACATCTGCTACTGGTCTTGTCTTTGTCTTTCCATTCTTCTTCTTCTTCTCCTTCTTCTTCTTCTTCTTCTTCTTCTCCTTCTTCTTCTTCTCCTTCTTCTTCTTCTTCTTCTCCTTCTTCTTCTTCTTCTTCTTCTTCTTCTTCTTCTCTTATTCCGGTTTTTGTCCTTGCTGTGGTTTTTGCTACGTTGTGTTGGTACCATCGTCGATTGCATGCATTAAGCATACTCCACATGTCTCTGACAAAGAAAACCTGGCCTTACCTTCCCCGTGCATTCACTGAAGAGGAAAATTCTCGCGTGGTTTAATACCCTGAAAAAAACTCGTAGATTACTACAACGCCCGTGCCTCTCCTAAAAACTCAACGCCCGTGCCTCTCCCTCCCTTCCCAGCATGACCCCAACATGACGCTCCAACCAATCACAAAACGGCAGGCCCGCTGGCTCCCCTTCCAAAAAGGGAGGATGTGTTATCCCACCGTCGGTTTGTGAGATGATCTACAGTTCGCAGTGGTCCCACAGTTCCCGCAGTTGTCCCGAAGTCCCACACGTAGTAGAAAACTAAACTACATGGGTGCATGTGGTCCGAGACCCCAGGATTAGCAAACGGGCGGGAAAGAGCCAAGTGCGGCTCAAGTGCGGTGCAGGCAAATTGGGGGATTTTTCAAGTCATATCCCTGGCCACACTTAAGCCGCACTTCAAAAGGGCGCAGGCAAGCGCTGTGAGGCAGTTGCAGGTGTGGTACGGTTCCCCCCCTTGGTTTTTTGTTTTTTCCTTGTTTGGCTGGAGGGTGGCTCAAGTGCAAACAGCATCCGCCGCGCTGCGAGGCAGTTGCAGGGGCCAAGTCCCACTAGATGGTGTTCCATTTTTGTGGCCATGGATCTGCGTATTCCTGCCACAATCGGCGGTCAAGAGCGAAAAACACACACCAATGGGACCCCCGGCGTTTTTTGTTTTTTTCCTTTTTTGGCTGGAGGGGGGCTCGGATACTGCCCGGGTTGGGCTTGTTTCCGACTTTCTTTTTTGTTTTGTTTTTGCAAAGGGATAATTTGTTAAATACCCCTATAAGTTGAGATATATGCCAAAATGTCCCTATAAGATGTGGGTAGAGAATACGCTTCTGACACAAAAAAATGTTTTGCGAAATGCACCTGGCGTTGGTTGGACCGGCCATCTTTGCAAAATACCCCTACTGGGTACTGTCCATCTTTGCAAAATGTCCCGGTACTTGCCAGCTTTTCCCAGGCCTTATTTATTTTCATTTTGCCCCTACCGGCCGAGGTCATCTTTCCGTTTTGCCCCTGACCGTTGCCTTAAAAAAAAACACATGTTGAAGAGAAGGCACAGCCA